GGAGTCGCCACCCCAAGAGATGTATGCTCTTTGCTTTTTGAAGTGGCGAGTGTTCCTTCCGTTTCTCGGGCATTTGTTCTTGATGTGCCCGGCTTCACCACATCCATAGCACACAGGGCCATCCTCAACCTTTTCTTTCTTTCTTAGAAGTTTGCAAAACTTCTTCATGACAAGCTTGACTTCATCATCATCGCTTGAGTCATTCATTGTCGGTTCTTTGGAGGCTTTTAATGCTATGCCTTTTCTCTGGTCATTCAAAGACGGGTTAAGTATAGTAGATTCATACGTTTTTAAGTTACCTCTTAAACCGTCGATGGTGACATTTGATGTGCCGATTGAATCATAGATGGCATCGGCCTTAGATCGCCATTCGGATGTCAAGCTCCGTAGGATCTTTCGCACAAGATCCCTGTCGGTGTAGGTCTTCTTCAATGCATGAAGATCGTTGACTATCTTGGAAATTCGGTCGAACATGTCGTCGATGTTTTCGTGCTCCTTCATTCTAAACATCTCATACTCTTGGGTGAGGAAGTCGATCTTGGCTTCACGTACTTGGTCCGTTCCTTTGTACGTCACCTTAAGTTTATCCCACATCTCCTTGGCGGTTGAGCAGCAAGAGATTTTGCGGTAGTCATCAGGATTTACGGCACAATAAAGCATGTTTATTGCCTTTGCATAATTCTCGACCTTTTTGATGTCCTCCGCATCAAATTCATCTTCGGTCTTGGGGATCAATTTGTCCTCGACTTTCTTCATCGGCACCTCTTCCCCGTTTTTGATAACCAATCATAATTGGAAGTTCGTGCAACGAATATAGATTCTCATTCGTTCTTTCCAATATGTATAATTGGTTCCATCAAAAAGAGGTGGCCGTGTGGTTGATTGCCATTCACCTATTCCTGCATACAAATTTCTAGAAGAAGAACCCATGATCGCTTTTACTCTCAAACGGTTAAGTTTGGACGCGAGTTAGGCTCTGATACCAATTGTTAGAATAAGTGACCAACGCTAGAGGGGGGGTGAATAGCGTTTGATCGTAGAAATCGCAGGAATAAAAAATTAAGAACGTGAAAGATAAAGAGCGTAGAAAGCGTAAAGGGAGCACACCAAGATTTATACTGGTTCACCACAACGTGTGGCTAATCCAGTCTCCCGAGAGACTCTCTCGAGCTACACTACTTTCTCGTTAAGCTTACGGGTGCTTAACAAACCGTTACAACATGAGAACTCGAGTCCCACGAGCCTCAACAACACTTGCTCAGAGATACCGCACTCCAAGACTTCAACCAAAAGGAAAATACCTTTCCTTCGTACAACCAAGGGAAACAAGCTTCCCTTAACGTGTATACAACACTAAGAACACTCAAGAACAAGACTCTCTTTAAGAGTGGATGTTGAGTAAACTATAAACGCTCAAGAACAACTCAAACTTCACAAATTGGCTCTAGAAAGCTATGGAAAATAATGTTGTTTGGATGCAATGATAATATGAATATTGTGAAGTGAATTGATGAGAAAAGCAGACCCAAACACCCCTTTTTATAGTGCGAAAATAGGCTCCAACGGACCAATACATTAAAGGGGTGATTGGCTTGATTTATGGGATTGAATAAATTGTGGATCTGCGGGATATTGGCTTCCCAGCAATGTATGGACTTTACCCATCGCTGGTAGGCTAATTTTCCTTCAGTTTTGAAGCCAACGGTCACCTACCCATCGATGGGTGGGAGGTTGACTTCCAAACAAGGAAAGATTCAACCTTAAATGACTTCCAACGGTCATGCCTTCCCATCGATGGTTTAGCCTTACCATCGCTGCGTTCCCATCGATGGGATAAGTCTCCAAAGTGTTTAGCGTGGTTTTTGCCAAACGACCAAAAGCAAAAGGTGGTTTTCAAAGTGTTTTTGTTGGAGAACTGTTTAAACATGCCAAAGGGTGAAAAACAATCATAAAATGTTGAAAACCACTTGGTTGGTTCGGACGCCAAAAACCAATGCCGATAAACGAAAGCCAAACGCCGGTTTCTGAAAGCCGAACGCTGAATGGCTTGGTTTTTGGTTTGGGCGAACACCAAGTGTTTTTAATGACTTAAACAAGTTTGAAAAACATTTTTATGATGTAAGAAATGCAATGAAAGATTTTAGCCTAAAGAGCCAGTGCGTGAGGGTTGGGTCGGTCTTGATCACGATTATGACCGACTCAACAATACTAAATACTGCGGTCTTCGTTCTTGGTCTCTTTTAGATCTTGTTCTTTATCTTCATTCTTCGCCTTGTATATTCAATGTTTGTCTTGATCATGGCGGTTTGGCATTATCAAAACCTGTTACAAAAACGAACACGGCTTTAGTACGAAAAACGTGACAAGCCCGTGTTTCAACATAAAAATGTTTAAAAATCATTTTGATGATGTGTGAAGTGCAATGAAAAATGTTTTAGCCTAATGAGCCAAAGTGCAAAGGTTGGGTCGGTCTTGATCACATTTGTGACCAACTCAACGACACTAAAACTACGGTCTTCGTTCTTGGTCTCTTTTAGCTCTTGTTCTATTTTCTTCATCTTTGTTTCTCGCCTTGTGTGTTCAACTAATTGTCTCATTCACGGCGGTTTGGCATTATCAAAACCTGTCATAAAAACAAACATGACTTTAGTACGATAAAGTGGTAAACCCGTGTTTCAACAAAATATAAATGTACTAGGTTTTTCAATTTTACCGGGTTTAATTTTTCAATTTTGAAACAGGGGAGAGTTCGAGTTATAACGTATTTAAGATTTTTCTTTATTTTTTATTAGTTATGACTCATACTTAATAATTGCGCAAGTCAACAATTAAAATGCCAAATATGTAGTCCAGTTGGCAGCTTGGAGTAATTGTATAAAATGTGTGATTTTTAAAAACATTGTTGTTAATTATTGAATTTCGAATTATTAACATAAAATCTTCTATTTTTTGAGTTTCATGTGAATTTTTTCTTTAATTAAAAAATATTTTAGAGGGACAAAAAATAATAAGTAGATATTAAGGAGGGGAGAAGAGTTACGAAGGTGTCCGTATATGGTACAGCCGATTGTACAAGAAGGCCCTAAATATTGTTTAAGTCGTCTCGTGTGATTCAAACATAGCTTTAGTCCATAGAGTAGCCACTCTAGTAACATAGATGAGAACTACGACGTTCTGTTTATGAGGCTGTTACAAAGATAGAGGCTACGTCTAAAATATCCTTAGACGAATATTATGACAATACAAACATCATAATATATATTAAGACTAATACATATGAGATGAGATAGCTTCGCCTCATAAGCTATAGATAAAGTGTTATCTGAATCTATACGTAGGCAAACATATTGGATATTTTGCTGGATTGACCCGCTATGAGAATAATAAAGGGGTTTAAGTTAAAGTGTTAATATTATTCTCATGCGACCATTAGTATAACTATCCTTTGACTTGAAGTCATTGCGTTCTTTGGTAAGTTGAGTTGCATACTTTAAAGCATGATTTATGCCATCTGAAATATTGGTGGATATACAATTATGTTTTGGGTATGCAATGAAGCTTAAGCAAAGATGTGAATGACGTAGATAGAATTTATCCCTTCTTTAATGAAGTATAATATCTTAGGGCCCACTGATTGATGTGACTTGGGAAGTGCATGGCAATGCCCAAATAAATATGTTTTTTGAACCCCACAAGGCAATCAAAGAATCAATAAACCATCGATTTAACTCTGACAAGGTGACACACCTCATACCTTGTGTTAAATGAAGATATTAGTGATAAAAAGATAAGGGTTATACAAATAAGATGTGTAGTTGAAGAAATTGTTCCAAGAGCTTTATATCTATAATTTGGGGGTGATAATGTGTTGCTAGATACCGCTTATCACTTGTAGTATTTAATCAATACTATGGCAAATTTTATAGATACCTAGAATAGGGTCACACACATAGAACATATGAAAGTGTAGAATATTTAAATAGAGTAAAGTAGTATTTTATATATTGTTGTGTGACAATATGATTAGATACACAAACATATATATAAATAAATATTTATATTTGGACAATTTAATTTTGGGATAATTAAGTTTGTCAAATATAATTAATAATAATAAATTTATATATATTCGGATATATATATATATATAATAAATTGTTTATCATTTTATTATTATTATTATTTAGGCGCAAGAATATATATTTATATATATTTGATATTTGGACATTTTAATTATATGATAATTAAGTTTGTCAAATCTTATTTAAGGAACAAAATATAACATTATTATATTTATATATGTATATGTGCGTATAATATATATATATATATATATATATATATATATATATATATATATATATATATATATATATATATATATATGGGTTTACTGGTTCACTGGTAGATGGGTTTAGATAGGGAATCTCTGAGAGGCTACTTCCGCCGTAAGTACGATCCCTGGCGACCGTTCACCTCTAGAAGCAATCGACGGCGATATACTGAGCGAAGAGATGGATCTGAGAATCTTCAGGTTTGGGAAAGAAGGAAGGATCATCGAAGCTATCCAGATTTCTGGCAAAATTCAAGGAACCGACGAGGGTACGATCTCCACATCCCACGGATTCAACGCGAAAGTCAAAATCAATCTCACTCCTTCCGAATTCAAACCAAGGTTTTTAATCTCTTTCACTCTAATTTTAACACGAACTTCTGTATCAGTGAAATTGGAAAGAGGAATTACGATATATGGTTAGACATCGATGGATTAAATTGGATTCTTGAGCTATTCCCCAAACTAATTCAGAGAAAATCCTGGGCTATCACCCGATTTGAAAAGCATCGGAAACTCACCATTTCTTTTGGATATAATAGCTGGGGTAATTATGTTCGGATACTTGAATCGAGAAGAGAGGGGAGCACCTCCCTCTTTGTCCCTGCGGATAGAGGGGGTATGGTCTATTTTTTTGATGCCATTGAAGAGTTCATTAGTTCTAGAATAGAAGGAAATGTTGCTACTGCTTCAGGGAATGATAAGTTAGGAAGAGAAGTAGAGGACCTGGGTATTGTTAATCCTCTGCAGCTAGAAGAATTCCCAAGAGTAGAACAAGCTAAAAGAAACTCTTCACTGGAGCCACTTAGCCGGGAAGAGCAATGTTTAATTGACAGGCTGTTCAACCAAAATTTGGAGGTGCAAGCATCAAGTTTGGGGGACCCTATGCAATCAGAGCTGGACCTCATGATAATTGATGATAAAGTAGAAGATCAGGCAGGAGGAGACCTTCAAAAACAGTATGAGATGCTAAAGCCGATTTTCGAACAACACATTAGCGATGACTTTGAGAATTCTCTTTGGATGATCAAGGAAGCGTTAC